ATCCTTTCCTTCCATGTTCCCATGGACTTTTTTTTTTTTTTTGACAGGTAGAGTGGACAGTGAGAGAGAGAGACAGAAAGGTCTTCCTTTGCTGTTGGTTCACCCTCCAATGGCCGCCATGGCCGGCGCACCACGCTGATCCGAAGGCAGGAGCCAGGTACTTCTCCTGGTCTCCCATGGGGTGCAGGGCCCAAGTACTTGGGCCATCCTCCACTGCACTCCCTGGCCACAGCAGAGAGCTGGCCTGGAAGAGGGGCAACCGGGACAGAATCCGGCGCCCTGACTGGGACTAGAACCTGGTATGCTGGCGCCACAAGGCGGAGGATTAGCCTAGTGAGCCACAGCGCTGGCCCGAATTTCTCTTGATGGTGCCTCTTTCAGGGCCCTCACATCCCCGCCATGGTTGGCCAAGAAGTATTTTTACCCTTTGACCTCTTTTCTTCCCACACCTCAGTCCACCCCAGGGTCGGTCCAGCTTTCTTTCTCCTTTGTTCTCTTGCTTCCCACTCACAGATTCCTCCTCTTCCAGTGCAGTCCCCCCCCCCCCCCGCCTTTGGTCTTTAATTCTGCTCTGTTCTGTGCACTGCTAGGGTGTGTGTGTGTGTGAGGGACCAGAGGTCTGGCAAGGAGAGGGGTGAATTAAGAAGGCGACCCTCACAGTGGTCTGCCTTTTTTTTTTTTTTTTTTGAAAGATTAATTTATTTATTTGAAAGTCAGAGTTACACAGAGAAAGAAGGAGAGGCAGAGAGAGAGGTCTTCCATCCACTGGTTCACTCCCCAATTGGCCACAATGGCCAGAGCTGTGCTGACCTGAAGCCAGGAGCCAGGAGCTTCTTTCGGGTCTCCTACATGGGTACAGGGGCCCAAAGACTTGGGCCATCTTCTACTGCTTTCCCAGGCCACAGCAGAGAGCCAGATTGGAAGTGGAGCAGCCAGTACTCGAACCAGCGCCCATATGGGATGCCAGCACTGCAGGTGGTGGCTTTACCCGCTTCGCCACAGTGCCGGCACCATGGTCTGCCTTTAAAGTAAGATATCTTCGGGGAAAAATCTTCCACACTTTTCCAGGTTAACATTTCCGGTGAGATTTCCTGTGTAATATTTTGCTTAAAGTGTCTTCCTTCATCATCCAGCCAGTTGATGCCAGGAAGAGGAAGGGAGTTGGGGAAAGAATCCATTCTACCCATTGCAGAGGGTGGCAGTGATGGCAGCCAAACAAGTGTGAGTTCACAATACCACATAACCTTTGTCTATGACATTTTAAATTAATTGAAATATACCTCACAAAAAGGACTTTGCCTATAGCATTCTCGCTGAAAAACATCAAAGCAAAACAAATAAATAAAAATAGCATAACAAGGTGTATACACTGGGTTTGGTTCTGGAGATTTCTAGAAGGAACTGTTCTGGGGCTTGAGACGTTGTCAGCATCCCTGGGATCAATGACAACTTGAGAGTGATGATTCTGCAGGTGCCTGAGAGCAGAGAGAACCGAAAACCTGGTGTCGCTTCCCCAGAAGTACTCCACAGCTGTCACATGCCTGCACCATGTCCAGCGAGTCCTCTTGTAGCCATCTCAGTGTGAAAATACCTGTATGCTCAGCATCTCCTCCCCCAAATCCAGTCCTGAAAATCGCAAGAATTCAAACTATGGAAAGAGACTAGGATTGAAGAATTTACTTAATCTCTCACATTCCTGCTTTACAAGAGGTCACCTGTGTCTCATAAAATTCTAGAAACAGAAAGAAGGGTTACTGGAACAATACAGGCTGGTACTCGTGGTCCAACAAATAAGCAAGCATTGGCTGTCAGTTCCATTGGCATTCTTAATTGTAAAAAGCTTACACTCCTAAACCCGGAGTTACTATAGTAAAGTAATGTCCCATTTATTATTTAGGAGGTATCAGTTTAATTAAATTCCACATATTTGGCAATTCTTCCTGTTATGACTCTCAGCGAACAAACATGTTATGCTACACTTGATCTTGGCCGAAAGGCCAAGAAGCCATCAAGAAAAATATTATGATCCCAATGTTTTTCCTCTCCTTGAAGATTCAATCACCAAGTTATTATCATTGGATCTTTCTCCTTCCCCACCCATTTTTTTCAAGCACTTAAGTCTCCTTAAGTGAACGGCTACGGATAGATTTCTTTATCTTCAGCTGTCCCATAATCGGCGAATAGTAATATGGGAAAGTTAGCCTGGGGTCCAACTAAGGAGAGACTGACACACCTGGCTGCAGAGTTTGGATTTTTTTTTTTCCAGCAGCAAAAGTGATTCACTGAAGTTGTTTGGAGTATGGGAGAGATGAGGAGATCAGTGTTTTAGTAAATACTCGTGTAATTATGCCCAGTGGATTTGAATGGAGAGAGAAACGTGTGATGATGACTCAAGAAGTCACGTAGCAGTTCGTGATTTAAGGGAAAGAAACTGAACTCGGGTATCTGCAGTGAGCATAGTTTCAAACGCAGCGAGTCTGATGCTCTAGGAAACTCCAGTGGAAATTTCGAGGACTGCGTTAGGAATTCAGGGCTGGAGCTGAGTAGTAATTGGAAATGTCTCCAATAGGGACTGGAAATCGAATTTTTGAATTAGTTAAATAAGTCAACAAGTACTTGGTATGTCTTCAAAAAGAGATACGATAACTCTGAGCAATTTATATATAGTGAGAGAAGAGCAGAGAGCTGGGACTTTAACTTTGGAACTTTGGGTACTCTCAATTAGAAGACAGAAAAGGGTAGAGAGTCAGTAAGAAAGCATAGGAAGTGAGGGGGGTGAACCAACGGAAGGAAGACCTTTCTCTCTGTCTGTCTGTCTGTCTCTCTCTCTCTCACTATCTAGCTCTGTCAAATTAAATAAATAAATAAATAAATAAATAAAATAAAGAAAGCGTGGGAAGTGAGAAGGAGAAGTCAGAGGAGAACCAAAGTGGCTAGGCTGATAAGGGCCAGGCAAAGAGGAAATGTCAGGGTGGAAGTTACAGACTGACACAGCTGGTTACACCTCCACTTGTGATGCAAACATCAGTTCGAGACCCAGCTGCTCCACTTCTGATCCAGCTTCCTGCTCATGCATCTGAGGCAGCAGCTGCCAGTCCAAGTCCTTGGGCCCCTACCACCCATGGGGGAGACCTAGTGGAGTTTGTGGCTCCTGGACCGGTGCGTGGGAGATTCTCCCTCTGTCTCTCCTTCTTTCTCTGTCACACTGACTTTCAAATAAATAAAGAAATCTTTCGGGGCCAGCGTTGTGGCACAGCGGGTTAACGCCCTGGCCTGAAGCACCAGCATCCCATATGGGTGCCAGTTCTAGTCCTGGCAGCTCCTCTTCCAATCAGCTCTCTGCTGTGGCCTGGGAGAGCAATAGAAGATGGCCCGAGTCCTTGGGCCCCTGCACCTGCGCTCGAGACCCGGAGGAAGCTCCTGGCTCCTGGCTTTGGATCAGCACAGCTCTGGCCATTGTGGCCAGTTGGGGAGTGAACCATTGGATGGAAGACCTCTCTCTCTCTCTCTCTGTGTATTTCTGACTTTCAAATAAATAAATAAATAGAGAGAAAGAAAGAGAGAGAGAGAGAGAGAAAAAAAGAGAGAGAGAGAAAGAAAGAAGGAAGGAAGGAAAGAAGGAAGGAAGGAAGGAAGGAAAAGAAAGAAAGAAAGAAAGAAAGAAAGAAAGAAAGAAAGAAAGAAAGAAAGAAAGAAAGAAAGAAAGAAAGAAAGAAGGAAGGAAGGAAGGAAGGAAGAAGGAAGGAAGGAAAAGAAAGAAAGAAAGAAAGAAAGAAAGAAAGAAAGAAAGAAAGAAAGAAAGAAAGAAAGAAAGAGAAAGAAAGAAAGAGAAGGAAATCTTTCAACAGTTAGTTTGGCTGGATACATAATTCTACAATGAAAAAAAATGTCAAGAAGAAGGAAGTCAAAGAGAATGAAGAGTGGTTGATGCCGAGAAATCTAGCCACAGGAGGTAATTAATGCTAATTATGTGGCCAATTCACTGTAAAGTCATGGGAAAATAAGGGGAGTTATTTTCTTTAGTTTAAGTCAACAAGTGTTTCCACTGATTATCACAGATGTCCCTCCCTTTCATCTTTTGCAAATTGAGTAAATCTTCACCAAAGTCAGATCTGGTAGATGCAGTGTCTTTGAATGAAAGAGAGATTTAAAAAAAAAAAAAAAAAATCCGAGATAGGATGGATTGCTAACAATAAGCCTAGGAGGAACTATCAGTTGCCCTGACCCCAAGTTTTGGTCTACAGTATAGTACTGGAAAATGAGGATATGTGTAAAGCGTTGCTTCACTATCTTGAGGAATCTTGCCAAGCAACAGAGTGCGATGTTGTTTAAAGATTTAGGAGCGGGGTTAAGAGTATGTGATACCCTGAGAAAAAAGAGCCCCTTTGGAGCAAAAACGGATTGAAGAATTGCTAGATACAGAAAGTTTTGTTGTTGTTGTTTTTAGGTTTTTTATCTTTTTTGTTTTTTTCTTTTCATTTTTTCTTTTTTTCTTCTTTTTTGTTTTTTTTTTCTTTTTCTTTCTTTTTTTTTCTTTTTTAGATATAGAAAGATTTTATTCAGCTTACGCTCATATCTGCTTGGGGAGTCGGGGTGCAAACAGTCATCTAAAGTAAAAAACAAAAGCAAACAAAAAACTTAATGGAACCGAATAACTCACCGCTGACCATTGAACTAAGTAGCAGCTGTAAAGGAAGTGAACCGAACTTTTAATATTTTTCCATTGGGTGGAGTATATAGCTTGCTCACAGAAGACTTCTGGTCTTTAAAATATGTCTGTTTCACCTCTGAGTTTCAGCTGTCCGCGGCTCAGCGGCAGTGGAATCTTTTCACTTCTCCAAACGTCCATGTGCTCTAGGGCTTCGCCCCGAACAGCGGCAGCCCCAGCGAAGGCTCCCAGGATTGACATGCAGTGTTCGGCCGTGAAGCAGGAGAGCCCTTGAGGGAGAGCTTCTTACCTCCTTTTTCTAAAAGTGATTATTCTTGAAATTTTATTACAGAAGCTGAAAAGGCAATCCACCAAGCATAAGACAGACAAAACCTTCCCCACAACTGTGGCTGAGAGGCCCGCGAATCTCAAGAAAAACAGATATAAGGATATTTTGCCCTGTAAGTTCCATTTCTCCTAATAAACTTGTCCCCTTTCCCAAATTCAATCATTCCTAGCTCTCTCTGCCTATCATTCGCTGTTCCCAGTCTCGGAACAGACTGATTCTCTGGTCTGCAAGATTAAGCATGAGCAAATTCGTTTGCGCTACTTATGACTGCAGGAGTATTCACCCATCCATCCATCCACTCACTCACTCACTCAGTCTTCAAACAGAGGCACCCACTGTTCACACCGTTGGGCCCTGACCAAGCCCTCTAAATCACACCGCGTGTTTCTTTTGTGTTATAGATGATCATAGCCTAGTCGAGCTATCCCTGATAACCTCTGATGAGGATTCCAGCTACATCAATGCCAGCTTCATTAAGGTACACTGGAGGGAAACAGAAAGCCTTCCGTATCTCTCTAGGTGCCTGGGAAAGGTGACTGGGAGAAGACCTGTGGGAAGGCTATGGTTTATTGCATCTCCTGTGATTTCCCTTCCTGTGTAGGGGGTTTATGGACCCAAGGCTTACATTGCCACCCAGGGTCCCTTGCCTACAACCCTGCTGGACTTCTGGAGGATGGTTTGGGAACACAGCGTGCTGGTGAGTGCAGAGTGGCGCTTACTACTTTGTTTTCGAGTTCTCAAGGAGGGAAGCTGTCAGCAGGTGTGATGGGGGTTTCCTGTCTATTAAAACCGGTGCTTTTATTTTTTTTTATTTTATTTTTTTACAATCGACTACTGGAGCTACAGGTTTCAGGCATCTTTTAGTCAAAATTACAATGTCATTATTGTTCAAGGAAATGAAAGTTCACACGTTGCCTGCCTCATTGGGTGACAAGAATGTACTGATTTGAATAGAGAAAGGGGAAGTGAGTTCAGAAAGAAGAAGAGTAAGAGCAACGCTCTACCACTTATCAGGATTTCTTTTTTGGTTGAAAAGCAAATCCAAATAGAAGAAGGATGATTAACCCTTTCTGACCCCGGAACCTATTTCCTAGCTGCCCTTCTGACCCGATAGGTGTTGACGTTTCTGTCTGTTTCATCCCCCAGATTATTGTCATGGCGTGTATGGAGTTTGAGATGGGAAAGGTGAGTTGCTTTCTAGTACCCGCTGATCTACAGGTGAAGGGGAGAAGAAAGAGACAGGGCAACCAGCAGCAGGAATTCTCTCCTTCAGTGAGGTTGGGTAAAAATGGCCATCTCCAAGCTTTCAGTTAGGGAATTCCACATGACGAAGAATTCTTATTATCTATTTTCTCAGTGTGTCCTGCTTTTAAAAAATGACCATTCACTTTCCCATTTCTATTGATCAGATATCTTTTAACTTTCTGTAAGAGCTTCAGATCCTGAGCTGGCCAGCATGCCATCCACTAGCTGCCTTTAGCTCTTAAGTACTGCAGAGATTGACAGAGTGACCAAGGAACTCAGTTACTTTACTATAATCTCAACTGATTTAAAAGTTGATCATCAATTCAGTTATTGGAAAACTTTAAGTATGTTTGAAACAACTGGAGTATGTGAAACTTTTCTCTTTAAGATTTGTTTATTTGAAAAGCACAGTTACCAAGAAAGAGAGAGAGAGAGAGAAACAGGAAACGGAAGAGAGAAAGATCTTCCATCAGCTGGTTCACTCTCCAAATGGCCACAAAACTGGGGCTGGTGTGCAGGCTAAAGGCAAGAGTAGAATTCCAATCGAATCTCCCAAAGGGTGGCAGAAGCCTGAGTCCTTGAACCACATTCCACTGCCTTCCCAGGCACATTAGCTGGAAGCTGGATTGGAAGCAGAGCAGCCAGGACTCGAACTGGAGCTCTGATATGGGATGCCTGCATTGCAGGCAGTGGCTTAACCCAGCACCCCACAATGCCAGCCACTATGTGAAATATTTGAGCTATGAATTTTATGAAATCTAAGTGGAAATGAAAGTATTTCCAATGAAAATTTTAGCATTCTGAGATGAGCTGTAAACATAAAACACTAGGTTTTGGAGATTTAATTTTAAAAATGGTAAAATATGTAATACGTGGTTGATGTCAATTACACGTTGAAATTTTTTAAGATCTGTATATTAAGCTAAGATATTCTATTAAAGTTAATTTCGCTTTTTTCATTTTTGAATGTGGCTTGGAAAATTTTAAATTGCATGTGTGGCTCACATTGTATTTTTACTGGACATCACTGTTCTGACTTGCTTGTTGCCATTCTGAGTTGACAATTTAAATCAACAAATCAAGGAAACTTGGTATTTCACTTAACTCGGGCCACTGTTTTAGTAGACATTTGATTTCCATTAGTCCTGCTGAAATATTGAAAGTAAGCCAAAGATCTCGAGTTCCACGTTTTTAGACTTGTAGGAAGTCTGTAATTTCTATATCCGTTACTTTTGCTTTCCCGTGCTTGGAGCTCCCAGGCCGTGGTGCTGGGGTGGAAGCCCATGGGATTACAAAGCCCTGAGCTGAGATGAAGGACCTGAATCTGCTTGTGAGGAAGCGAGTGGGATTTATTTCTGAAAAGAGACTGCAGTGTATGGAGGGAAACAGGGCCGTAACTGCGTTCTGCTTTGTGCAACAGAGAAAGTGCGAGCGCTACTGGGCTGAGCCAGGCGAGACGCAGCTGCTGGTCGGCCCCTTCTCAGTGTCCTGTGTAAGTACCATCGGCACACCGTGGCCCAGCCAAGGCTCCGGGAGCTCCTGGACAGAGAGTTTGACTGATATTGTAATCTTCTTCTGCTTAGGAAGCTGAAAGAAGGAAATCTCATTATATAATCAGGACTCTGAAAGCCAAGTTCAACGGGGTAAGTATAGAATGGGAGTGATGAACTCAAAAGCCTTCGGAGAGCAGGCAGGCAGATCCGTGTGTGTGACTCAGGCGAGACGTAGGGCTCTGGACAGTGCTGGGGCCTTGGATGTCCTGAGTCAGTCTTCGTATTCTGAAGAGACCTTTGGTGTGATCTGTGCTCCCAAATCTATTCCACACCATGACACACATTTAAAATAATATCTGTAGGGTGAACAGAGGTTGGGCAGTGAGTAGGGACTGGGAATCAATCTGTGAGCTCAGACTGCCCTGAGCCCCGCCCCGTCCCCATCCTCTCCCAAGGCAGGGATTTAATATAGCAGCGTGCCTGTGATTCATTTGAGGCACCCCATCTGGGAAGACTTCATTTGGACTGTGTTCATAGCTAACTTCCTCTTGTGAGTGGGACAGATGGGGACAAGCCAATAGTGAGTGACCTTAAATTTCCTTTAATCAAAAAATGTATTTAATTTATTTGAAAAACAGAGTTGCAGAGAGAGTGGAAGAGAGACAGAGAGAGAGAAAAAGACCTTCCAGCCATTGGTTCATTCCCCAGATGGTTGCAACAGTCATGGCTGGGACAGACCAAATCCAGGAGCTTCTTCTGGGTCTCCCACGTGGGTGGCAGAGGCCCAAGCACTTGGGCCATTTTCTGCGGTTTTCCCAGGTGCATTAGCAGGAAGCTGGATGGGAAGTGGAGCAGCCAGGACTCAACCCAGTTCATATACTGGATGCTGGCCTTAGCAGGCAATGACTTTAACCACTACAACCATGATGCTGGCCCCAAATTGCTTTTAATTGTTGTCAAAAAGCATTTGGTTATCTGAGATCCATAGAGAAGAAAGCAAAATAAATTGGAAAAAAAGATTCAGATGCAATCTAATAAGCCAGACTGATCTTTTGTAGAATGAGGTGGAGTCCTAAGCTTGAACTCTCCTTTTGTTCTGGCTATTTATTATAGGAAACTCGAACAATCTACCAGTTTCATTACAAGAACTGGCCAGACCATGATGTGCCTTCGTCTATAGACCCTATCCTGGAACTCATCTGGGACGTGCGTTGCTACCAAGAGGGCGACAGTGTTCCCATCTGCATTCACTGCAGGTATGATGCTGTGTGTTCCTCTCCTGCCGAGGATAAACCAAACATCAGAGTCTGGTCTGGACTCTGCAACTGTAATGGAAATGTCAACAGCAGAAACCAGCTGTAATAAACTCTGGTGAATTACGTGCAGGCAGTGCAGCTTTAGCGACCCCTGCCGTAAGAGGTTGGCAAGGCCCTGTCCTGAGGTTCAGTGTCACAAGAACAGACTTGCTCTGGGAAGTGGTAGGGCTTGAAACACAGTGCCGCCAGGCTGCTTGCTCTCCAGATCTGCTGCTGAAATTTTCCAGCTCCCATCCGTGGCCCCCTCTCTGCAAGTACACATGCCACTGTGCTCTTTCGTTTCAGCGCTGGCTGTGGAAGGACTGGTGTGATCTGTGCCATTGATTATACGTGGATGTTGCTAAAAGATGGGGTGAGTTTCTCTCAACACGCCTTTCCTGTTTGCTTACTTTGGGCTTTCAGACTTCAGAATTGCTTGGTTTTTCAAAACATCTATCTTCATGATTCATCTTTTCTAGAAAATGCACTCGGAGACCCACTCTGCCAGGTGATTCATTAGTTCCTAAATTGTTGGTGCAGTCTCCACACAAGTAGCATCAGCATCACCTGAGAACTTGTTAGGAAAGCGAATTATTGTAATGGACTGAACCCCAGCTCCGAGGGCAGGGGCTGGAGGTGCGCTGATGGGCACCGGGTTTGAGAACCACTGCCTACAATGACACCTACCCTTCCTTAGGTTAGCCAAACTGCTGCAGCAGATGCACTCATTTTTTTCACAATAAAATTTTGTGTTTCAATCTATAAACCACTTTTTAGTGCCGACTAAGAAATGGGAAGTTTAAAATGTGGACTCTACACCTGCCTGCCAACTCCCTTTATTTCAGGACACTCTCACACTTGGTCTCCACTGAGCCTTGTCCCTCAGTGTATATTCACTTTCAGATGTTTGATCACCCCATGGGAAATAATCCTGAAGAGTTTCTTCAATCTTTTCTGGGGAAAACCCAAGGCTCTAAATCATAGTGCATGTGATGAGAATCATCACTAGCTTTATAAATGCATTCCTTTTCTGCTAGATCCCATGTTAGGAGAACAGATGTCATGGAAGTACAACATTATGAGGAAGTGGTAATACTTTATGAATAAAACATCAGAGTGAATATGTTTCCCTTTTGTTTGATAGATAATTCCTGATAACTTCAGTGTTTTTAGTTTGATCCAGGAAATGAGAACCCAGAGACCATCACTAGTTCAAACTCAGGTATGGACGTGGTGAGTGGATCAAACACGTGTCTGTGTCTTGCTCTGTCTCTGTGTTGAATGGAAAGACGTCAAAAGCAGCTGCCTGCCCAAGATAACCAACATAATGTTTCTTATTTAAAAAGGGTGTTGAAAAAATTCAATAAGCTTGATTTAGTAGAAAGAAGTACCTGGGTCGTATTAACTTAAAATTTTATAGTAATAAATTCATCTCTGAAATCATAGAAATTTAGTGATTTATAATTTCTGCATCAGGAGGTGGTAACAGAATCTGGCAAATCCAGCCTATAGCTCATTTTAGGAAATACTAAAAAATAAAAACAAAACCAACCATATTCCTGTCACTTACAGATGCAGATGGCGATTGTCACCATGCTTTCTTTTTTTAAAAGCTGAGTAAGCACCAGAATAACATTTTTTTAAAGAATTATTTATTATTTATTCGAAAGTCAGAGATACATAGAAAGAGGAGAGGCAGAGAGAGATCTTCCATCTGCCGGCTTACTCCCCAGTTGGCCACAATGGCTGGAGCTGTGCCGATCCGAAGCCAGGAGCTTCTTCCAGGTCTCCCACATGGGTGCAGGGGCCCAAAGCTTGGGCCATCTTCTACTGCTTTCCCAGGCCTCAGCAGAGAGCTGGATCAGAAGTGGAGCAGCCAGGACTCGAGCCGGCACCCATATGGGATGCCGGCACTGCAGGCAGCGGCTTTACCAGCTATGCCACAGCGCCAGCCCCCACTATTTTTCTGTAGTTTCATTTAGTCCTTATTGTATGCATACTTCAAAAAGAAATCACAATTATGCTATTTTATGGATCACAATTGCTGAGCCTACACCAAGATGCCCGCACTTCATTAGGAATCCTCTTTGCTTCTCTTGCTGGCCCAAATCTCTCACTGTCTACCGTATTAATTTCAACCATATTTCTACATCCACAGTTTAAAACACAGTTCTAAGTGGTTTCCATCCATAAGATAGAAATTGGCTGTCACCCTTCCATTCATTCATCAAATAATTTATTGATGTTTATTTTGGAACAGGCCCTTTTGATAATTTGTTAGAATTGCTTTTTACTATTTAAAGCACACATAAATGAACTTGCACATAGGGTTAAAGATAAAACAATTGACAGTGTCAGTTTAGATATTTTAATCTAGAGGTTGTGAATTGAAAGGGGAAAATAAAGAGCTGTTATAATATAGATTTATCTGTTCAGCCCACACAGGTTTTCCATTAATAGCTTATGGAAAAAATATATTTTTTCATGTGTTAACTGTAGGTGTATTCTATATTCCATCTGTGGGGGGGAAAGTTTATGTGAAATGGAAGCATTAGCTGGTTTAGTGTTATCAGACTTAAAAGAACATAACCCTTGTCAATGCATAAAAGACTCCAGGAAGTACACAGTCTAGTTATGTACACCGTAATTCCAAATGAATAAAACCACACCTCATTTCAGGAAAATTCCATTGCAGGCCTACTTCTAAGAGTTGGAAGACAGTTGAAAAAGACTTCGTATGTTGGTTTGTCATTGAGTAGCCAAACACATATTTTAACAGTTGTAGCTGCTTTTCCTGATACTACTATAACCACAAAAGGACGCTAAACCAGATGAACGCTTCCTGTCTGATGTTTCTGTCTTGACAAAAATAATGCATCCGTGGTTGTGTTGAGGGATACAGCTCTGCAGGGTTCTACTAAAATTATCTTTAGAAAAAGGTGCTCTTTCTTTGAATAGGACTGTGTAAATTGTCAAGGAAGATCCTGAAGAGACCTATTCAGGGGGAAAGTAAAGCCAAAATCAAATGCCTCAGCAGATACAGTGGCAAAACATAGAGCAGGGAAAACCCACAAAGCTTATACTAGTAGATGTCTCATTTCTCTATGGTGAAATCCTTTTATAATCACACATTTTCAAACCTTATTTAGTGGTTTATTTTTCTTGGGTAAATTACTAGAACTAGAACAAAATTTTAGCAACTTGATCTAACTGCCCTAAACAGAATCAAAAGATCCCATTTCTAAGCCAAGTCCTGGAAATTAGTTCTGACTGATCTTGCACAAACAGTAACTAGGTACACAAGCCTAGCTGCTTCGTAGAGCAAGTGTGCAGATCGAGTTAAATAACATATATTAGAGCTATCTGTTGGGGCTGGCACTATGGCATAGCAAGTAAAGCCACCACCTGCAGTGCCAGCATCCCATATGGACACCGGTTCAAGACCTGGCTGCTCCACTTCCAGTCCAGCTCCCTGCTATGGCCTGGGAAAGCAGAAGATGGCCCAAGTCCTTAGGCCCCTGCACCCAGGAAGGAGACCTGGGAAGAAGCTCCTGGCTCCTGATCGGCCCAGCTCCAGCTGCTGCAGCCATTTGGGGAGTAAACCAGCAGATGGAAGACCTCTCTCTCTGTGTCTCTCTTCCTCTGCTTCCATAACTCTGCCTTTCAAATAAATAAATCTTTAAAAAATTATAAAGCTATCTATCTGTATACCAGCCACTAACTACCTAGTCCTAGAAAAGATGAAGGTGGCTTACCAAAAAAATGCACCTAAGATGAAATTAATTATTAAAAATATGAGCAGAGAGAAAATAATTAGAAGGAAGATGGTGGAGGGGAAGATAAGTAGGAAAGTGGGTTAAGATATAAAAGAAGCATGCCATACTATCCTTGCACATTAGCTAGAGTTACAGACATTATTTAGCCATTTCTAGTAGCCTTAAGATGCTTTGAAATCTGAAATGGGTTTTATAAACATGGGCTACTGTTATTAAATTTAATGACTTACGATGCTGGTCCTTTCAGTTCTGCCGTGTTAGTGTTTGATTGGAGTTCTTATTACTGAAGTCTGGTTCTGTGCTTCACCAATATTTGTTTTTTCATTTGTTCCGGTTCACGACGATCCTCAGGAACAATATGAACTGGTCTACAGTGCTGTGTTGGAGCTGTTCAAGAGACACCTCGATGTCGTCAGAGATAAATACACCGGAACAGAGGTAGGGTCCAAACTGGATGTGCTGTCCAATTTTTTTCTGTACTTGTGCTTGGTCAAGGATCTCAGATTGGTTGTAGGACTTCCCTGATGTCACAGCTGAACTGCAGTGTCGGGTGTGCACAGGGCTGCACTGAAAATCTGTGAAGGACAAGTCAGTTTGAGGTGATTTAAGTCAGAGCATTGACCTCTTGGTTAACGTATTATGTACAATTGTCAGCTAATTTTAGTTTTTAAAGTTATACATTTATTTATAAGTCAATTACAGAGAGAGAGGGTGAGCCAGGAGCTTAAACTGGGTCACCCATGTGGGTTACAGGGGCCCAAGCACTCGGGCCATCGTCCACTGATTTCCCAGGTGTATTAGCAGGGAGCTGGATCAGAAGTGGAGCTGGCAGGACTCCAATTGGTGCCCATAAGGGACCAATGCTGTGGACGATAGCTTAACCTACTGCACCACAGCGCCAGCCCCTTCAGCCAAATTTAGAAACAACCTACTTACTGGGGAGTGAGAAAAAGGGCAGCATGTGGTCTGGTCCCATGTTTTGTTAGAAGTGAGAGTAACAAATAGAAAGTGAAGTCACAGTTGGGTGATTTTTCGGGCTACACTAGTCTTGTTGTCATTGCAGCTATTTGGAAAGTGAATCAGCAGATGGAAGACCTCTCTCTCTCTGTCTTTCCTTCTCTCTCTCTGTAGCTCTACCTCTCAAATAAATTTGAAAAATCATTAAAAAATTACTGATTTATCTTCCAGGGTATATTTAACATCTACATTTCCATTTTTAATATTATATTTTTATTATTAACCTGAAAACCTTCACTGAGGTTCTGCTGTTTTCTCAGCAGTAGGAATACAAAGTGTACAAGACATAGCCCCGATGATATCTCTCACCAGTTGAATGACGTAGCATGCCAACTCCTCAGCAAGACAGGTGGGAAAGGGAGAAGGGAGGAAAGCCAGACAAACTGGTGGGATGAGGGAGCTAATTAAGCACTTCTATAGTTAATGTCAGTTCCAAAGAGAAATGCTATGGGGAAGGCACATGACCTATAGTTGCTAGGAACTGTTACTTCATATTTGTGCCTATTTCATTGACTAGTATTCCCAAAACATCCCAATTTTATTTTATTTTATTATTTATTTATTTTTATTTATTTGACAGGCAGAGTTAGACAGTGAGAAAGAGACAGAGAGAAAGGTCTTCCTTCCGTTGGTTCACCCCGCAAATGGCCGCTACGGCTGGCGCTGCACCGATCTAAAGCCAGGAGCCAGATGCTTCCTCCTGGTTTCCTATGAGGGTGCTGGGCCCAAGTACTTGGGCCATCCTCCACTGCACTCCCTGGCCACAGCAGAGAGCTGGCCTGGAAGAGGAGCAACTGAGACTAGAACCCGGAGCCCACATGGGATGCCAGTGCTGCAGGCGGAGGATTAGCCAAGTGAGCCACGGCGCCAGCCCCCCAGTTTTATTTTTAATGACTTTGAGAGGCAGAGAGACAGAGACAGAGAACTCACATCCGTTGATTAACTCCCTCAAATGCTCATGACAGCCAGGGCTAGGCCAGGACCAAAGCTGGGAGCAGGGAACTCAATTCAGTGTCCCACATGGGTGCAGGAATCCAATTACTGGAGTCATCACCACTGCCTCCTGGGGTGGGGTAAGTTGGAGCCAGGAGCACTCTGGGACTGGTGCTGTAGCGTAGTGGGCTAAACCTCTGCGTACAGCACCAGCATCCCAAATGGGCGCCTGTTCATGTCCTGGCTGCTTGTCTTCTGATCCAGCTTTCCCCTATGGCCCGAGAAAGGCCCAACTCTGTGGGCCCCTGCACCTACGTGGGAGACCCAGAAAGAGCTCCTGGTTCCTGGCTTCGGATCAGCTCAGCTCCAGGATGGAAGATTTCTCTCTGTCTCTTCTTCTCTCTGTAACTCTTCCTCTCAAATAAATAAATAAAATCTTTTTTTTAAACAAAGTCATTAATGATTCTATTGTTTCACTGCTAGCATGATGCAGACTTACTGGAGGTATTAATTTCATAACTGTTTGAAGACAGAGTGCATTGATTTCTATTTGTCAAGAATTTTTTCAGAAAGAATATTGAATTCTATCAACTGCATATTTTTGGACTTATGGAATGATTATATGGATTTCCTCCTTTGCAGTTATATTATTGGATTTGTTAATGTAAAATCATCTTTACACTTTTAGAATAAAGTCTACTTGGCCAAGGAACACCCTTTTAAAGTGCTGCTAAGTATGTATGCTAATATTTTATTTAAGTTTTAGAAAATGCCAACGCCCAAAGTTAGCACAGTGGCAGTGCCATGGCTCCGGACAGTTGGATTATGTAGAATGGATCTTTTGCCAGTAGATGGGATCATAGGAACAGGGCTCAGCCCCTCAGGCAGGGAACTGGTTAAAGCCATCCAGGGTGGATTTCTGTTTTCATGAAGATCTAGCAAACTTCTCTCTGTTTCTGTCACTAAGTGAAACTAGGAACTGTGGACATTTTATATGAAACAAATGTAAGAAGACCAAAGGAGACAGAGAAGAGAGCAGCAGAGCCCTAGGAGCCAAGGTATAAAATGATGCTAGGCTCCCTTGAGTTTTCTTCTGCCATTTGTGTTGCAAGCTTGGAGCTGAAGATTCCAGCAACTTAGAAATGCCAGTAGTATAGGGAGCAAAACAAAACAAAACAAGAACCTAACCAAAGAACCAGGGAAGTGGCAGCCTATCGAGACAATATTCTTTTTTTTTTTTTTAAGATTTATTTATTTGAAAGTCAGAGTTACACACAGAGAGAGAGGAGAGGCAGAGAGAGAGAGAGAGAGAGAGAGAAAGAGAGAGGTCTTCCATCTGCTGGTTCACTCCCCAAATGGCTGCAACGCCTGCAGCCAGGAGCCAAGAGCTTCCTCCAGGTCTCCCACATGGGTACAGGGGCCCAAGGACTTGGGCCATCTTCTGCTGCTTTCTGAGGCCATAGAAGAGAGCTGGATGGAAGTGGAGCAGCTGGGACTCGAACCAGCGCCCATATGGGATTTCAGCACCACACGCCAGCCCCAAGACACAGTATTTTTTTTTTTTTTTTTTTTTTTTTTTTTTTTTTACAGGCAGAGTGGACAGTGAGAGAGAGAGAGAGACAGAGAGAAAGGTCTTCCTTTGCCATTGGTTCACCCTCCAATGGCTGCCGCAGCTGGCGCGCTGCAGCCAGCGCACCGTGCTGATCCGAAGGCAGGAGCCAGGTGCTTCTCCTGGTCTCCCATGGGGTGCAGGGCCCAAGCACTTGGGCCATCCTCTACTGCACTCCCTGGCCACAGCAGAGAGCTGGCCTGGAAGAGGGGCAACCGGGACAGAATCTGGCGCCCCGACCGGGACTAGAACCAGGTGTGCTGGTGCCGCTAGGTGGAGGATTAGCCTATTGAGCCACGGCACCGGCCTCGTGTCAACCCTGAAATGACAGAAATTTTAGAATTATTTGACAAAGATTTTAAATGAGTCATGATTTAAAAAAAAAAAAAAGGTTCATTGAGCAATTCAAAGCATGCTTAAAAGAAATGAAAAAGTAGGAGGCCTCAGGATGGGCAATGTGGCACAGTGGATTAAGCTGCTCCTTGGGAGACCTGCATCCCACATGAGTCCCAGCCTCTCTGTTTCCAGTCCAGCTCTTTGCTAATGCATCTGGGAAGTAGCAGATGATGGCCAAAGTACTTGAGTTCCTTACACCCATAAGGGAGACTTGGATGGAGTTCCTGGCTTCTGGCTTCTGGCTTCAGGCTGGCCAAGTCCCAGCTGTTGTGGCCATTCGGGGAGTAAACCCACAGATGAACATCTCTTTCACTTTCACTCTCACTCTCTCTTTCTGTCAGTCACTCTTTTTTCAAACAAATAAACCTTTAAACAAACAAACAAAATTTAGCCAAAACAAAACCAAAACCGGAAGACTTAAAAAGGAATCAAATGAAAATTTTAGAACTGAAAAATAAACAAACTAGCTCAGCACCTAGATTCAACAGCAGGTTAGAAGGAATCAGCAGACTGGAAGATAGAATTCACCCAATTCAAACAAGAGATAAAATAGACTGAGCAAAATACACAGAGCTCCAGGGAACCAAGGGGCTCTAACAGCAAGTCTAGCATTTGTGTCACTGAAGTCCCAGAAAGAGAGGAGACAAGCGGTGGAGCTGAAAAAGTTTTGGAAGGAGCATCATGATTAAACTGTTGATAACTAAACACTAAGGAAATTCTAGAAAGCGGACAGAGAAAAATTACACCTTAATTGTGGAAGGAAAGCAATTAGAATGACAGATTTCTCATCAGAAACTGTGCAGGCTACAAGGAAGGGGCACAGTATTTTTCAAGTTCTGATAGAAAAGAACGTCAACACAGAATGACAATAGGAATGAAGGGGAAATCAAGACATAATCAGATGAAGAAAAGCTGAGAACATTTGTCACCAATAGAATGACCCTAAACTACAGCAAAGGACACTTTGTAAACAGAAGGAAAATGATGCAGGAAAGAAGAACGAACATATAAGCAAACATATGAGTAAATTTAATATCTTTCCTTTTCCTCCTGAGCTTTCTAAATTACATTTGACAGTTGAAGCACAAACATTCCACTATCTGATGTGGTTCTAAATGTACTAGAGGAAGTACTTAAGACGACTGTATCATAACCGAACAGTTTTATGTAGCCTCATCTGTGTAATTGTGATATCCAGAGGCACCACTAAAATGGCTACACTGGAAAACACTCCAGGTAAATAAAAATGAAATTCTAGAGAAATGCAAGAAAGAAAAAGAGAATGAGAAACAGAGAGGACAAACAGAAAGCAGAAAATAAATGGCAGAATTAAGCCCTACCATTCAATAATTACTTTAAAAAGTGATCTAGGGGCTGACGCCATGGCACACTAGGTTAATCCTCCACCTGCGGCACCGGCATCCCATATGGACGCCGGGTTCTAGTCCCGGCTGCTCCTCTTCCAGTCCAGCTCTCTGCTGTGGCCCGGGAAGGCAGTGGAGGATGGCCCAAGTGCTTGGGCCCCTACACCCACGTGGGAGTCCAGGAAGAAACTCTTGGCTCCTGGCTTCGGATCGGCGTAGCTCCAGCTGTTGCGGCCTTTTGAAGAGTGAACCAACG